TTCTCATTGATTGGTAAACTTGGTCTTGGCTGGCTGTTCTTGCTGATCTTCTGGGGGAGGGGCCTGTTGCAGTGGTTCTCAAATGTCTCTGCCATTGATGGAATTGCCCCCCCCTTGCCGGGGGCCAGGCTAAGTAACCTGCTCTGGTTTCCTCCTGGGAGCTTTTGTTCCCTGCAAGCTTTCCGTACAGCTTTGGAGATGAGAGTGAAAATGGCAGCCTCCCAGTCTCTGCCCCAGCGGAGCCAAGAACTCGGGGCCCCACTCCTCAGTGAGCTCCCAGAGGAAAGCAATCACTCCCCTCTCCTTGGTCTCTGGCCGTACTCCGTGCTCACCCAGCCTGTGACCGAGCGTTTCTATCTCTGGCACACGATCCGGTTTGCGGGCGTTTCTATCTCTGGCATACGACCCCGTGTGGAGTCTCCAAACCCAGCAGATTCCTGCAGTGTGCTCCGCACTGCTCCTCCCCAGGGGAGGAAGGGGAATCTCCCCGTATCTGCCACTTGTTGGGTCCCTGCTGGAAGAGCAGTGGCCCGACTGTGCCGCTGATCATGGTTTATGGCAACCCCGAGCTGAGAGCCCACTTCTCTGCTCGGTCTTTGCAGCCAGCTTCCCTGCTCTGATACCTGGGAGCTCTGCTGCACTCAGTCACCCCCGGTCTTTCTGTGACCCTGAGGGTCCTGAGACCACACTGTCCCAGCGAGGGTCCCACCCCCCACTTAGCCACTGGAGCGACATCCCTCAGCGGAGTAGACTTCTAAAAGTTCTGATTTTGTGCTCCGTGGCTCTATCACTTGCCGGTAGCGGCTGATGGAGGCTCCCCCGCCCCGCAGTCTATCTTCCCGGATATCGCCTTGGATTCACTTCTCCGCACATCCTACCTTCCAGAAAGTGGTCGCTTTTCTGTTCAGGGTTGCTGCTATTCTTTTCTTCAATCTCCTATTGAGTTTATAGGTGTTCAGAATGGTTTGATACCTATCTAGCTGAATTCCTGGGACCAGATAAAATTTAGGTCTCCTACTCCTTCGCCATCTTGCTCCTCCTCTGTTCTCTTGCTTTTTAAGTTGTGTAACTCCCCATCTCTCTCGTTCTCTCCCACCTCAGGCAATGTTCAGTCTCTGTATGGTGGAAAGTGGAGCAGACGAGGTGAATTTACACGGTGTGACCGGCCTTGGCTTGAAGCAGGCCCTGGAGTTTGCATACACGGGCCAGGTATGGTACCACATGTCATCTGAGAGGCTTAACGTTTTAACTGCAGCTAGCCAGAGGGGATTATCCTTGAGGCATGAGATTTAGGTATTTTTCTTGTTATTCATTTTAACGTTTTAAAAAAAAGTTCACATCTCCTTAATTTTATAACTAAAATGATGAAAAGGTAAGTAAAACAATTTGAGTTTAAATATGACCCAGGGAACATAATATTTTAATCTGAGCTCAGTGGCTTGCTGGTATAATTTTAAAACAGCCTAAAGAACCATCTTATGGGAAAGAGTTTGCAAAATAACTTGAATTGTTATTACTGAAGCTCCATTACTTAATCATGGCTTTATTGGCTTAAAAAAAATGTAAAGCTCCAAGAAGTTTTTATAAACTTTTGTTTTTTAATTCCATTTTATTCAACTTAGGTTTAGTGTCTTCTATGCTAAAATAAGGGCCTCTTCTCTTGGCGGGCCCACATCCCAGTGGGGAAAAGAGGCATAGACATAATCACATATCCTCATTGTGTTGGGAAATATAATAGAAGCAGAATACAAGATACAGTGGAGACAAAAAGGAGGATATGGTCAGCTGGGGCCATCAGTACAAACTTTCACAGAGAAGGTGGTATTTGGGTCTTGAAGAATGTTGGGAGCTCACTTTTCTACTAAATTTCCCCTTTAGGGGCTTTTTAAACTATATGATATTGTCCATTTTCTTTTCTAGAGCTAGTAGAGTTTGAGATATGTTTCATAGAGTAATTGAGGCATCTCGGCAGCTGAAATGAAAATAATGGATAGAAAGGAAAAAAACATCCATCAAGTAGCAGGTGCAAAGGGAAATACAAAGGAAATGGATCACAAATTCAGAGTCAGCCCAGCCAGATTTCATGCCTTAGAAAATTCAGGTGGACAGTTATTGTTCAGAGTTGCCAAACCTGATTCCTAGTGAGGTAAATTATGTGTTGGCTGCTTTTTGGTTTATAGATGTAAAGACAGATACCAGCTCTAAATTCTGTCTTGTGTAGATTTCTCTCTTCATGTCTGAAATATGGTCACACCTGCATTTGCCCACCTCTAAAGTACTATTGATAACACATAGCTCCTATTTTGCTGGTGTGCAATGGGAATGAAATAGTAAATGTTGTGTTTTTTTGAAAAAACTACCCACATGAGTAGCTTTTGTATTTAGCTGCATTAACAATGGAATGGTTTCAGCTCAGAAGTTATAAGCTGCAAAACATTTAAATAATTAGTAAACAGAAGGGTGCAAAAATGCTATAGAGGCTGAGGTAAAACTCACATGCAGATATAAACGGCTGTCTTATTGTTTGCCTTGATTGCCCTGTGGTTTCTTTCACAATTATATATATGTAATCCCTGTGGCACAAAGGACTTAGGAAACATGGACTGAAGGGGACTTTTTGAAGGGTAAGAAAACTGCTTGAGAAGTTTGCAGAGGGGCAGCCATATCTCATTGCTTAGGAGTCATATGCTCATATTCCACTTTTATGAGTTAAAAAGAAAGCCAGGAATGCTTAAAAAAAAAAAAAAGAAAAGAAAAGAAAAAAAGCAAGTCCTAGGGCCTGAGCCGGAGTTGTATTTATTCTGTCCAGTGACCCATTCCTGATGTGTATACCCACAGAGCAGCAACAAGCCTGTGGCATTCAGCAGTAACTCATCTGTTCAGATTGTGTCTGGAGGGACAGGAAGTAGGCTGACATTTCATGGAGCATCTTCTGCAAGAGCAAGGGCACTGCCCTAGGTACTTTGTGTGTGCTGTTTGACCTAATCTTCTAGACAGCTCTGAAGAATGCAGTGATCCCATCATGAAGATGACTAGCCCAGGAAGGTGCAGGGAATGACTCAAATCACTCTCCCAGTGTATACTGACTCAGTGAGTCAGGGCCAGTCCTCTTAGCTTCAAATCCATTGTCCCACTGAGGAAAGATTAAGTCATATTTGTTCTACTTTGTTGAAGGAGGCAGGGAAGCATTTGGACACTTTAGAGAGTGAACTCTTTTGATGGTTCTCTCATCCTGGGTGCCTTTGCAGCACTCAGTTCATGAGGGCTCTGAGTTGCTGCACTTGAACTCTATGTATGATAACTCATTGCTGCACAGTGGAAATTGATACATGCTTTCTTGGACAGCATCCATGGTACTTTGCTCTCTTAAACACCAAAATGACTTTATAATAAATCTGTTTTCCCTTGGAGACATGAACACAGATAATGGCAAAAAGTGGAATTGCAGTATGCTTGGGAGATGCAAAAAACCTGCTTTCTCTTACTCTGGAATTGACGTTAGCATTAAGCGAAGACTTTGGCGTATGGAAGCAGGAATAAAAGCATAGTTCTTCAATTTCTTAATTGTTATGTACTCTTGTGGAAACTCACTAATACTCACTAATCTGTTGTCTTTAGCCATGATATAGATTTGTAAAATCAGGGTTAACATTGAACTTACCTATCTCTAGCTATTTCTACTGACAGTTGATTACACCTTTAGTCGGTGGTAGTAAGCATAGTATAAAATATAAGTGTTTTAAATGTCTGAAAATTGTTGCCGTCTTGGGAGAGAAACTGGAATTGGAAGTATTGTGTGGGCGCCATGAGTGAATGTTGCTACGTGTGCGTGTTCCTCCTACATAGTGCTCTAAAGCATAACCTTCTTAAAATTGGTCACAGATTTCATCCAGGAAATTTTAAAGAAAAAGCAGACTTTTCCCCTAATGCTAATGCATCCTCTGAAAGTGCATGCACTTTTCTTAGCAAGGAGTCTATATGGGGCCGAGGAAGCACACACTCTGCCTTCCCACTGATTAGAGACGTGACCTTCCTGTGGGCACACCCTGCTTAGGGCACAGCCTGTGCAGAGGCAGGCATGCATCACGACCCTCATGGGTGTGTTTGCTCAGCCGTAAAGAGCAGAAGCAGCCATGAGGGGCAGAGGAGCCAGGCTACTTCCCAGGTCCTATTCTGGGCTGGCGCCGGGAGCCAGGACAGGAGCAAGTGGTGTGATGTAAACTGTCGCCAGGCAGCTCTGCCTTAGGGAGAACGGGACAGGGTAACCCTAAGAGAACACAAACTCTCACTTAATCTGGTGGGCAAGACTACCCGTTCCCTGGCCTCCCTCAGTCTCCTCACTTTCCAGCTCTGGCCAGGAATTCACTCCTATTTCAGACCAGGAAAGAAGAAGGGGAGGAAAGAAAGGATTCTGGTGGAGATGTTGACTGGGAGGAGGATTCCCAGTCCTAACTAGACAAGAGGTCAGCCACTCAGGAGTGAGTAGGTGTTGCTAAGAAAGCCCGGGGGTAGTGATTAGCAGTTAAGACCAAGATCCTTCTAGAAAGAGAAGAGCCCCACTCAGAAGATGGAAGGACTTCTGACCTCGAAGTTCCCGGAATAAGCCTCTAAGAATTTGAGTAACTAAGGACCAAAATAGGAAGCAAATAGAGCTGAGAACCACAATAAAGTTCACTGTTTAGCACTCCAGCTGTGATGATGTTAAGCAAGATAGACTATATGCCAAGTACAGTGCTGAATACCTTCCTTATAGGGGAGCAAGGGCTTAAGCCTAGTTAGCTTCCTCTTCCTTTCCAGAGAACTGTCCTCCTGTTCTGTCCCTTGTAGCCTGATAGAGAGAGAAACTACGCACCAGATGACAGTGACATTTGTAGTCCCCTTTAATATTTGCCGCCTCCAGGTACTGCCAACTTTGTCCACCCTGAACCGCCATGTCACATCTGGCCATCTGAAGAGAAAGGACGCTTTGGTACCTGTGATCCCTTGCTTTTCTCTTCATTATCCAGTAACTCCAGCCTTGGCTCCTCAACACATGGAGGAACCCATCTCTTTGGGACTCCCATCCTAATTACCATCCTCCGATCCAGAGAATGCTTTAGTACAATCTTTATAAGGATATTTTGTGTAACCATTAATATTAACATTTTAAAGTCTTTCTTTGGTGGTGCCTGGGTGGCTCAGTCATTAAGCGCCTGCCTTCGGCTCGGGTCATGATCCCAGGGTCCTGGGATCGAGCCCCGCAATGGGCTCCCTGCTCAGCGGGAAGCCTGCTTCTCCCTCTCCCACTCCCCCTGCTTGTGTTCCCTCTCTCGCTGTGTCTCTCTCTGTCAATTAAATAAATAAAAATCTTTAAAAAAAAATAAGGTCTTTCTTTGGAAATGTAGAAAAGTATGATACTCTTAAGTAAAAAAAAAAAAATTTAGCTGTAATTGTGCTTACAGAATTGGTTATGTAAAAATATTCATGCAATCAGAAATTGTAAACTCGGGGTGCCTGGGTGGCTCAGTCAGTTAAACGTCTGCCTTCGGCTCAGCTCATGGTCCCAGGGTCCTGGGATCAAGTCCTGGATTGATGTCCCTCCTCAGCGGGGAGCCTGCTTCTCCCTTTCCCTCTGCCCTTACCCTCCCCTGCCCCTGCGCTCTCTCCTTCTCCTTCTCTCAAATAAATTCTTATTTTTTTAATAAAAAAAAGGAAATTTAAACTCAAGGAAACTATCCCTTAGTATTCAGCTCTATGCAGTGAAGTTTTTCTTCCTGATTCTTATTTGATTCCTTAATAAGTTCATATTATCTTTTTACATAGCATTGATAAGGCATACACTATAGCATTCCATTTTGATGAATATTGAAACTGTATTTATTCTACATAGCAGAATATTTTTCTCTGTAGACCTGAGCACCAGGCCCAGCAGCAGAGTGACAGGAATTTGAATTGCAACTGCTTTCCATGGGCCATCCCTACAGAGGGATAAATATGTCACTTCACATGGAAAAAGTCCCCATAAAATTTACCTATAAATGTAACCTGGTTGAACTAAATGGTAGCATATGAACAAATCTGGGAGAATTTTTTCTTAAATATGTCTCTGGGGAGCAACATTCAGGCTATTCAGTGGTTTAAATATTTTAGCTGTAAATATGTAGCTTTCTTCACCTGGCAGTGCTTACAGAAGCCTGGCCAGCAAAAGGCCCCTGAGGTACCTTCACTGT